GCCATGTCAAAAAAATTGGTAAACTGAGGGGGGGTCATGCGATTTTTAAATGGTGCTTCCCAAATCCCATTAACCCTCCCTCCCTCATAAAAAATGAACGGTCCCTTATGGCAATCATTACAGACAATCTTTTTAACAAAATGGCTAATGCAGCAAACTCTTTTTTGTTTACTTAGTAATATAAAGAGAAATGTATAGCTAGCAGATGGATCTGAAGTCTGCATATGCTTTGGTTTCTTGACACGAAATAGCAGCGAAATGATTATACAAAAGTGTACTCGCTGTGAAAACGAAACTTGAAACAAACGATCGAGGAATGGAAGACTTCTTCCTATTGGACAAATTGATGACTAAACAAACCGTTTCCGCCAATAAATTTATGTTAGAATGAACAATAAAATTAGAAATTTCTTTTGTCCCACAGACTTGTTCTCACGAGGAATTGATTAACAAACAACAGTTTGGTTATGAAATTAAAGTTTTATTAACTAGGAAGACCCATCTTCACCTCACTTGTGAACAGAGACAAGTAAGTGTGTCAGGAGTGTGTGTTTGCTCGTTTTGATTAGTTTTAAATCCTTACATTTGATTCTATTGTATTCTAGCTTGTTCGTTTCCTCTCAAACATCCCAAGCGCTGAGTTATTTCAAAGGTAAGCGATAATTTTTGATAAGTTAATCTACTAGTTAATATTTCGAAAAATAGTCGTCGATGGTTTCAATGAAAAAGGAAAAATGTCAACTAATACGTGCAATACAAATCGCCAATCAAACCAGAACTCAGGCATTCACAACTGACTGATGCAGCTGACGAGGAAAGACCTAACATGAAATGTAAAAAATGTTATTGTTAGAAGACTTCTCAGTTTTGTAATAATTGAGATTCAAGAGAAAACGACCAGGAAGTTGTTCAGGGCTAACACGTATATATCTTGCTTCGAAACCAGATAAACATCATCGTCGTGTTTTGGAATCTACGTATGCTTTTAGCCTCAGTGTGTCCTACGTTACATTTCAAGGCACAGATTGCATCATGTTATCGCTTGCCTTAACGATATTCGCCAGGTGTGCAAATGCTTAATGATCGAATTATTTGAAAGAGAAACTGATTGACTGCTTACCAACTCGTGCCGTGCTGGTCAGCTAACATAAACATTTTCGACTTTGCTGGAAAAAGAAAACTGCTGACTGAGTTTTCTATTCCACTGATAATATTTAAGCTATCCAGCAAGTGTCTTTTTCTATCCGAATGCAGAGCTGCTGAAAGAAATACGTAATTAAAATAAACGATTTAAGTGGAATCGAGGATGTTTTTGCTCCCAAAATTAAAGTACACGATCGATAAATTCATTATTTTACACGATCATGAATGTTCAACTTAGATAGCTCTTTTAATTTCGCTGAAATTCATTCAGGTCAGGTAGGTCCTTTTTCGCATCAAGTTTAATTTCATTATTGCTTTTATCGCCAAATATAATCACAAATAGAAACACAATGCAACACAGGACAGAAGTTCAATCATGGGATTTCTGGATTTCAAGCCTTAAGACGCGGTATTGGTAACAAGTCTGTGTGAACGGTTTTCAGCCTCATTTTGTTTATTGCTCGCATTTCCACCTTGTTTTCACCAAAAACAAACCAGTTGAATACGCGATGAAAAACTAAAGGGTAACAGCCAATTGTTTTGGAAGACTAAACCATCGAAACTTGGTTACTGTTTCATGACTGATCAAGACAGACGTAGAGTTTCTTTCCTTGGGGTTTGATCTCGCATCTGATTGGTGGCTTCACAATTGACAAATGAATTCGTTTATCGTTTTCTTACTAGAAAATTTTAACAAAATGACGCACGCAGAAAAAATTTTCTGCTGTTTCTTCAGTGAAAGAACCACATAACTAGCAGTTAATTTCTTTTTCACACGGATTAGCAGAACAAGGACACACTCTGGAAATAACGAAACGTGGCACTTAACAATAGAGGAATGGAAGACTTTATCTTATTGGACAAAGCGACCACTAAACAAATCGTTTTAACCAATAAGAATGTATGTTAACTAGGAAATTCAAATACAATACGTCAGTTGTTTCACGTCACAAACAAGTTCTGACGAGAAGTTCAATATCAAAAACAGTTTCGTTTTCAAATAAAAGTTTGATTAACTAGGAAGAACTATCTTTTCTTCAGTTGTAAACAGAGACAAGTAAGTGCGTGTTTGCCCGTTTTGATCAATTTCAAATCCTCACAATTGATTGCAATTTCTGTTTTACTTTTAAGATTTTTGATTTCCCTTCAAACATCCCAAACGCTGAGTGACTTCCAGGATAAAGGTAAACGATTTTCTTTTTTGATAAGTTATCTACTGTAATCGAATTATTCACACAAAAAATTCGTCTCCACGGTTTATGAAAAAAAGGAAAATGAGCAAGTGACAACACTGTCTTGGCCCTTACGTAGCCTCATAAACGAAGCATTGTTCCAAGTACTTGTTACAAAATCATCATTTTATTTTAATTTACGAAGGAAAAACCTGGACTCTGCGTGAGAAAAATAGGCCACTATGAAGACTTGTTAAAATTGCTAGTTAATGGCAGATGGAATGTTGTTGGCATTATGATGTGATTCATACATGTAATCATGTGAAATGAGTGTTTCAGTTGGAAATTTGCCCCCCCCCCCCCCCAAAAAAAAAAACCCCTTGCTTCGCTTTTTCACCAGTTGAGACTTCTTCGAACTTGTGGGAATGGTGCCTTAACAGTGACGAATCCAAACCTTGAGCTAAGGGGA